AGTTAGATATTAAAAAATATTAAACTTAATTTTCTCTTACTAGTAGTGAAGAAGATAAAAAAAAAAATTTCATTAAAATTTTTCAAAAATGCGTAAAAAAAGATTTCTTCATAAAATAATTTTGATTTGGCGGCTAAAACACAATATGTCGGTCAAAATGCTTTAAAATTCTTTTTCGGTAAGTATATCAGCCGTTGTATAAATTGAATTATTTAATATAATGTAAATAAACAAAAAATATATTTTAAAGTTCTAGAAGAAACTAAAAAATATTTTGGCAAAAATGATACAATTGCGAAAATTTTACTCAAATGATGTTTTGAGTGAAAGATTTTAATTTTATCAAGTTCAAATAAATAATGGCGGTCAAAAATATTAAAAATGATTAAGAATTTAATATGCTTTTGAACAAATTTTAAAAATTATACATAAAAAAAGTTTAATCTAGAGAACTGAAACCAAGATAACGTTTTCATTGCAGTAGTGTACCACAACCGTGTACGGTGCACACGGTTGTGGAACGGTGGGAAATCAGCTAACGACTAGCCAGCATCATTTATAATGATAAAGACAACATTTTAGCTCCAAGAACTTTTGTAGATTTTAATTTGTATATTTTAATTCCAATATAGTTGACGTCGGTCGCTTTGAAGTTACAACATGTATCTATCGACATATCATAGCAGTTTGCATTATTTAATGTTTAACAGTTTTATAAACAATAAAAGAATATAAATAGTTTTTTCGAAAAAAAACATGAAAACGAAAGTTAATAATCATGACAACAACAAAAAAATTACTCAATATTGTATATTTATTTGTTTATTTCGCCGTTTACATTTAAAGTTTAAAAGTATATAATAATAATAATAATAAAAATAATAATAATAATCGTTACAAGGTTAGCTAATTAGTGATTAATCGCTAGCTTAAATTAATTTCTCACCGGGATTTTAGGTTACCTCTTAGTGATAAACACAACAAAACCTACTGCAACATATGGGGACTTCTTACATTTTATAGGTTAACCAAGTCTCGTTCCCAGTGGGCACAGGGCCTAAAAAAGACGTCTTTTGCACGTTCAAAAGGCGTCCAAAACGATTAAAAGATATTTAAAATATGTTTTTTTTACGCCTTGTGCCCACTGAGTTAAGGTTGCTATATTGTCAACTGCATTTTAAGGAACAAAATATGTCAAAATAATTGTCAATAAAACATACTAAATAAAATCAAAAGGTTTTAAGGTTATTACTTTTTAAAATAATTTTTTTGCGCTATTTTTTTAAATAAGCATTTTTAATTTAGCTTCTTCATAAAGAATTTTCTTATGTTTGACGATATAAATAAGCTGTCAATTGTTTGTTATGTACCACGTCTAAGTTAGTATTGTCGATGCTGATGCAAGTCTATTAAACACATATAATAGGCCGAATGATTAAAAAAAAGCAATTGCTTGTGAGCAATTAAGTAAAAGTAAAAACTAAAAATCCTTGCGGTAAAGCAATTGCTCAAAATACGTAAAGTTTTGCTTTTGCTCATTAGTAATTGCTTCCGTTAAGGAGTAAATGCTTCATGTCGCTACCAATAGAAATTGCTTGTTTTTATTTGTAGTTAAAAAACGGCTATATATTTATATGTGTGTATGTATGGGCTGCTGTATATATGTGTGTATATATATATATATATATATATCATATATATATATATATATATATATATATATATATATATATATATATATATATATATATATATATATATATATATATATATATATATATATATATATATATATATATATATATATATATATATATATATATATATATATATATATATATATATATATATATATATATAGTGCTTTTTTTCTCCTAGAACGCACCGGAACGGCGTTCCGGCACCTTTTTTTTGTATAAATTTTTCTTTCCCCCGTATTATTAATGTTATTAATTAATATTATTAATTCCCCCGTATTATTAATTTCAAGTATTTTGTAGCGGGATAACTCAGATGGTTAGAGCGTTAAAGGAAAAGTGAAAACCCGGACTGTTGAACGATACGAGTTCAAATCCCGCCACCGCCAACTCAGCGCTTGAGTAGTACTTCGGTACGCAAAAATGTTGGTCAATAACGGACGCTACTTTAGATTAGTCTTAATGACTATTTGTGGCTGTTCCTATGCTAAATTAACAATATCTTTGGATATAAGAACATTGTATAGAAAAATATAGCATGAAAACTCAAATTAAAAAAAAATAAAAAAAAAATTAATGAACTTAGTTTTTAAATAACATTTTTAATTCCTTAAAAACTTGTATTCAAAATTCTTTCAAACAATATTTTAAAGTTTTTAACGCAAGAGAAAATTTTCACAGCAAACATTATTTGAACTACATATAAAGTTGGAAAAAGATATCAGTCCTTTAATAACTTTGAAATGGGAAAATAGATCTTCAAGAAACTAACGGAGTTAAAATCGTTCGTAATCTTCATTCTAGAAAGGTATACATTAAAATCACCAATCATGTAGGTAAAGAAATGAGAAAAAAAATTATTGCAGAAGTCATAAAATCAAAAAGTAAGATTTCTTTAATGATTGATGAGTCAACCACTACAAGCCCAAAATTGACACTGATAGTGTACATTCGGTCCTGTGTAAAGTGCTGTGAAATGAATTCTCCAATAAATTAAAATAAAATCAAAAGTGTTACGGCTAAAGGATTATTTAATGCTATACTAAAATATTTATGTTTTTATAGGATGACAGGATGATAGGATGACAGAAGAATATTTGAAGAATTGTTTAGTTTCTGTAGAATGGCACAGCAGTGATGTTAGGATGCTTAAATTAGAAAAATATGTTAAATTAGCTCAATGAGCTCGCATCTTAGACCAAAAACAATGACCTGTAAATGAAATAAGAAATCTGTCAATAAGACAACAATTAAATGAAAGAGAAATGGTTTGTAGATTCCTTGAATACTTTTTAGAAAAAACATATCCTTAAAATTTAGTTCATTTGGTACACACTATACATACCATCCCTATTTCCGCAAGTGAAAGTAAAAGAGGATTTTCATAAATATGAATCTGATCATCATACCAACAAGACCTTCATTAATGACCAAAAAAGTTTCAACAAATTATTCATTAAAGTAGTAGGATCACCGCTAATAAGCTTCGATCTTTCAAAGTACGTTGATTCAAAGTTATTAGTGGAATCCATTTAGCTGTATTAAGAGCTATGAAAGGAGACAAGATAATAACTCTGATAAAAATTGCAAAAAAACTTGTTAATTTTTATTATAAAAGTTTAAAGTTTTATACAGTTTTTATCTTATATACAGAGTCGTGACCCATCATCCCTAACCCTAAAAATTTAGGTAACCCTTCCCCCCTCCCCCCCACACACAAATAAAAAGCACAAGTTAAAAAAAAGCTTCTTACATTGGAAATCTTTTATTTGCTTCTGCCTTATTGGTTATAATGGGCGGGGAAACCCACTAACGGCTATCCTATGCATAAATTTTATTTACAAGTAGTTGCTATTATGTGCTTCATTTTTGAGATATAAGAAAAATACATATATATATATATGTGTGTGTGTATATGCATGTATATATATATACATATATATATATATATATATATATATATATATATATATATATATATATATATATATATATATATATATATATATTTTACAAACAATTTGAAATAGAGACTAAATAATAAAATGATTACTTGCGCTAACAAAAAGCCTAATATCGTCACATTCGAGCGAGAAGTCAATTCAAAATCAAAATAAAATGCATCCCCCCCCCTCCTCCGTTATTTCATTGGGTAACTAACAAACTAGTTTAAAACTATGTTGAAGACAATACTGCAAATTATGTTAAAGACAGTAATGCAAATTATGTTGAAGATAATAATGCAAATTATGTTGAAGATAATAATACAAATTATAAAAAATAATTTATTAGTTCTTAATTTTCTAAAACTTTTTTTCATAATGCTTTTGATTTTGCATGTTGTAATTATTTTTTATATAACAGTGGTTATATATATAATATTGTATTAAATTTTGGATGACATTTAAAGTAAAAAATATATACTTCTCATTCTCCTAGATGCACGAGAAACAAATAATAAATCTATTAGTCTTTATATTTTTGTTAACGATTTACTACATTTTCAGCAGTGTACTTTGATACCAGATAATTTTTGGTCTAATTTACTTCGATACCAATTGATTTTTAACAATTAACAAACCCTAACCCTCTAAATTGTATGCAATACGTCTAAATTGCATGCAATACTTATAATTACTGATAGAATATGCAGATTAGAGGTTTTTCTTTTGTTTTAAATTCTGAGTCATAAACAACTCAGAACAATATTTTATAAATAATACTTGACACAAAAAAGTTTTAACACAAGTTTCTATAAAAATATTTTTTATATTAAAAAAAAAAAGTTGTTGTTTTTACAACAAAAACAAACTTACCACTTGAAATCATCAAGCTTATCTATAACTTAAGCTATATACTGTACTTTTTTTTGTTTATTCAATTGATTCTGTTTATAATTTTTTTTTATAGATTGAATCGTTACCATTTATAATATTTAGTGAATATAAACTTTATTTAGAATATTTTTTTTTTATCAAGGTAACTCATAAATGACATAATTTCCTAAAAAGTATTTTTCAAAAAACGTTTGATCGACATCCGTCCGACATGGATAACGTATTTTTTAAAAATCCGTACTGCAACAGATTACGTTTAAAAAATTGTTGGATAAAAAAGATCAAAATTAAAACGGTGAACATGAAAAAAGTATATGTATTTTAAGTTTGCTGGATTTTTCAAAAATAGTTTTATGAGAGCCGGAAAAAAGAAGAACAATAACAGTAAAAAAACTTTGCTCCTAAATATTTTGATCAAGCTCAATTATTTCTCATTTTTAGTAAAAATATATTTCATTTAAGTAAAATCATCTCAGTTTAGTACAAATTTTTCTCGTTCTAGTTACATACATACATACATACATATATATATATATATATATATATATATATATATATATATATATATATATATATATATATATATATATATATATATATATATATATATATATATATATATATATATATATATAAAGATATCGAGTGTTTAACATAGTCAATATGTATATCGTCAGTTTAACGTAATCAAAACCTATATTAAAAGTTAATTTAAAAGTTTAAATATGATTGAGCATATATGATTGCTAATTTTTAAAAATTTGGCAATGAAACAAAAAGTTTAATATTAGTACCAACCAATCAGTTAAACGTTTTAGAATTTAACTAATCACACGCATGACATATGCAAATGAAGTGGAACCATCAAGATTTGATGGTTCCACTTCATTTCTTTTTAAAAAACAATAATACAAGACTTTGTTATTTTTTGTTGATTTAAAAAACAATCTTTTTTTTTTAGGAAATATTTAGACAATATTAATTGTCTACAAAAATCAAAATTAAACGTGTTAGATATAGATAAAGGTTTTTATCACAAGGCACAACGAATGATATCTTAAAATTTAAACATATGAACATTATTTATTTTTTAGTATTATAATTTTTATTATAAATTTACAGGTATTATTAACAACACCTTGTTAATTGGTTTTCTCTTGGGATTTGAAAATAAAAGTTTTTTAAAATTTGCCAGGCTATAAACGCTACCCGCATTCCTATGATGTAATATTTAAAAAATGATGTAATGCTCTCGGAAAACGATTAAAGGTAAACATTAAAATTTAGTAATCTTTAATATTTTATTGATTATGAGTGTTTTAGACTGTTCTGTTTTAACAAAAGTGATATAGAGTGAGTATTTAAATTATTAAATACACAACAGCCATTGGTTAGAGTTCTATAGAACTCTAGTTTTAGAAACTTAGTTTTGAGCTATAGCTCAGAACTAAGTGGTCCGAGATTCAATGCCGGCCCTGGCCAGATTAGCCATTGGTAAGGAAAGAAGCATGAATTTTTAAGTTTAATGTTTTACAAACAATATTATCTGAAAAAACTCATACCAATCCTATTCAGTGTGTGGTATCTCTCCAAAAAATATGAATAGCCTTGATACCATATATTTGTAGGCTTACAGAGAATTCAAATATAGTCTTTCCAGTCTCCATGCATGGATTGATTTTTTGAGATAATTTTGCATATTGCATTAAAAAAAAAAAAAAAAAAAAAACACAAGAAAGTGGCAAACAACATCTAAAGTACACAAAGAAATGGTATCTGTAACTAAGCAAAATATTCAGACTAATTTTATGAACAAAATTAGACTTGTTGTTAATTTCTCCAAAAATGGTAGTTCTGGATCAAGCAACGATACTTCATGGCTTTAGCAGCATATTATATTATCTTTGTAACACTTCAGGATATGAAATAGATTGCTTGACATTCATTGATTACTGCTTTGACACTGTTAGACTATATGTGTTCCTTTAACATAAAAAATTAATTCAAAAAGAAAAGTAACAAATACTGATCTAATCAATAGAATCCTAGTATCCAGTGATTCTGTAATTTTATCACTGCGTAAAACAACATCACACCAGTCAAATCATAAAATATTTCCTTCAGATGCTAATGATGATATTAATTTTCAAATTTTCAAAGATGATATTAATTTAAAGATGATATTAGTTTTCAATGTAATTTTAAATGAATAATGTTTTCTTGCAAATTTAATATGGATAATGTTTTCATGTTTTCGTGTTTTTATTATTGTTAAAACATTAATTAAATATTTAATAGTTATTCAAAATAAATTGGTCAAAAATCCAATAAAACTTATTCAAAAATCAACTTACCCTTAAGTAACTAAGAAAATTATCTAGTAACTAACCAATATAAGTATCCATATATACTAAACAAAAATTATCGCTTTTATAAGAAGCGCAAACTCATATTAGTACTCTTGCCAAATTTAGTGAATAGTGGAGAGTGGAGAGAAGTGAGACGCAAAAATAATTTTCACGGTAATTGTAACGAGGTAATCACAAGCAGCTGTAACGCAGTGGTAGCGCACTTGCCTCAGAAACATAAGATCCGTGGTTCAAACCCCACCTCTGGGCAAGTTTTGCGACATCGGTTGGAAGGAGGCGTGAACTTCCTAACAAATGCCTTTCCGCGGTTCTCTGTGATAAGACCGTAAGGACTTCTTGGGGCACCTATAAAAAAAAATCTTTTTTATTTGATGTATAAACTAAACCAAACAAGTTTTGATAAATAAAGGAGTATTTGGGATACCAATTTCACGCCTTCAGATAGATAGCACGTTTTAACAAAGTATGTATTTTTTAGTTTTAGAGGAACCCTGCTATTGTTGTAAATTGGGACATTTAGAGGAGAAGGACTAAATAAAAACAACTCCAAAACTAGTTTTATCTAAATAAAACAAAATAGTCAATGTATCAATGCATTTTTTCATCAAATTAAGATTACATATTAAGAATTAAAATTTCTTTATTAAAAAAAGAAAAAGTTAACTTCACATTTAATTGCCAAAGTTCACTTGAAAAATGATTTCAGCGTTTGTAGTTGATGTTGTTCGAGCAAGCGGTTGAGACAGGACGGCTTTTATATCATTATTATTCAGACTAAGATTGTCATTAATTCTAGATTTGAAAAATTTAGAAGTTTCTTTATTCTGGCATTTTAGGAAACATCTACATCAAAATCTTTGTATATTTCTTGTCGCACTATGCCTACATATTAAGAAATTGTGTTTTTACTACAGCCCTCATAGAGAACATAATCATTATCATACACTTTCTCTCTTTACGTTCACGTCTTACAATCTTAAGAAAAGGTCCTTGCAAAGTAACTATTTAACTTTTTTAGCTTTAACGCATGAAACTTTTTTTCATCAATTGCATTATTTTATAAAGTTTATGTGCTAAATGTAGAATTTAAAGAAAAACCTGAACTAAGAATATTTAGTTTAAATTACTTTTGGATAACCTTAGACAATCTCAGGAGAAAATACAGTAGAGTTTTTTTTACTGCTTCATTTTACACAGCCAAACCTGAGATATCTGAAAGAACAGCACTTGTACTTGATTTCTTGCACAAGTCTTCGTTGCGTGGTCCTTGAGGCACATCTTTATCTGTAACAACTGCTTCATGTTGCACACTCAAACCTGAGATAACTGAAATAGAAGCAATTGTAATTGATTTATCACATAAGCCTTGATTGCATGGTTTTTGAGGTACATTTTTATCTGTAACAACTGGTTGTAAAAAAATATTACCACCATATACATGTTTATCACAAGTTCCTGTCAAGCAGAATTCTAAGGTAATATTTGTTGATGTAGAAAATATTTCCCATGTTGGTCTAATGAGATTGCTCATCTCATAAATTTTAACGGCTTGTCCTGGATTGCTAGGCATCAAGTTGACAGCTGCATTAAAACATGTTTTCGTTGGACCAAAAACAGGCCCATCTAAAGATCTTACGTGGAGTATGTGGTGGCAAAGTCATCATACAAACATGGTTCTCTTTTGCATATTCAAGTGACTGTAGTGAAAGGTGGTTTTTATGATTATCCATCCAAGTTCTAAATAATTTTCATGGAAAAAAAATAACAGGTGACATTGCTACACCAGCTACAGAGACAATCTAACACACTGTAACTAGTTGACCTTTACGTATCAACGCTCAAACGTATCAACATTTTTATTTTGAAAACTCTAAAAATCTTTGCTAAAATCATCTAGAGCTTTCCACAATAAAATAAAGCAAAACTGTTAAAGAGAAGTGGGACAGTGACTTTTTTCTCTGTCCCTCGACATCTCTATGTAGGGCAGACAGAATAAAATTTAAATTACAACCACACAATTAAATTTAAAATAAAAATTTAAGTACTAAACATTAGATGATAAGTGCATCTCCCTATAAAATAGACAAAAGATCTAACAGTCGTAAATAAAGACATACATGAATTTCTAGGCTGTCAGCAAAAATACTTTTTAGAAGTACTTTCAAAAAAACCATAATTTGCTAAAAAGCAATAGTTTTTTGAGTTCATATTTTTATTTTCGAGAAAAAGAGAAAAAAAAGTAACACATTGTAAAGACAATATACAGTTATAAAACAAATATAGTAATAGTTTTTTCAGTTAGTATTTTTATTTTCGATGATTATTTTTGAGTGGTGATTATTTTCAACGATTATTTGCGTACCAATTTTTATTCTTAGTACTTTATTTCTTAAACGTAATCTTAACTTAAATTTAACGGTTTTAACCACTGAACAGTCATGCCGAAGGCCGAAAGACTTTAAAAGAAAAAAACTAAGGAATTATTAAAAGCAGCAGCATCACCTTATGATAGGCTTATCAGATCAAAATTAATACTTTGTTAAAAAAAAAAACAAATCAATCGGTGGAACCAGAACCGGAAAATTTTGTCAGAAAAGCGGAGGGTTTCTGTGAAATTGATAAAAAACAGTGACAAAAATAGAAGAACTTGTATTAAGACTTAATTTAATGAGTTTAGTTGGTTATTTTATGATCTATCACTTAAAGCTGTCTTTTGTAAAACCTGTACAAAATATGATTCATGTTCTGATAGAGTGTTCAAGCATGGAGTCAGAAAGAGATTTAGAACATGGAGCAAATCTGCAGCAGCACTTAAAGATCACGAGTACTCCAGTTTTCATAAGGCTGCAAGTGCTCTGAAGGTCGAGAAAAAAAAAAAAGTTTACAACATTTAATGCTTAAATTGACCAAATGTACATGGAGAAGCTATTAGTTTAAAGAAAAGGCTTGCAAGCTCATTTCGCAACATTAAAAATATTGCTTAGACGGGGTGTAGCTATAAGAGTTTAAATTGGATAAGAGTAAAAACAACAAGGCATAGAGATATTGATGAATGAAAACCATTATGTTTTATCTCATGACATCTTGGAAGAGCAAAAACAACTTCTCACCTTATAAGCACGAAGGCAGAACTGATCAAAATTGAACATTTCTATTCAAAACTTGCAGTGACAACTATGAAGTAAATGAAGATTTTATCGGAGTATAAGCGTCAACGATCTTTACTCAAATGTCTTGGTGACATATATTGAAGATATCTTTTTGAGGTGCAACTTGGAATATACAAAAGTTACCGGAATTAGCTTTGATGGAGCATCAGTTATGAAATGGTTGGCAGCAAAAACATTTTTGAACAGCAAGCACAATATTTTCATTGCATGGCACATTGCAGCGAGCTGATTGTTAAAGGTACATATGCAATAACATCACTACTGTCAGATTTTCTCAGTATTGTCCAGTCAATTTATGCAATTTTTTTTTTTAACATCTTTGCTTCCAACAAGGCTGCAAGCAACCACTAATTAGTGTTGGAAGCTATTGGAAAAGAAAAGATGAAGATTGTAGAGCAAGATAACAATTAACAGACAACTTAAAAGATTGTAAATTATATGAATCAGGAAAGCAAGATTAAGGAAGCGAATTCCAAAGAACTGATGTTCGAGGAAAAAAACTAGACGAATAAGAGTTTTGGAGAACTTAGGAACAGTAACAAAAAAAGGATGAGACTTAATTGAATGACGAGTAACACGAGATTGAATTTTAGTAGATGGCACAAGAGACGCTAGCTCTTTAGAGCAGTGCCCAATATAGTATTTGTAGAAAAGAGAAAGAGAAGTAACATTACAACGATGTGACAGAGGTTGAAGGTTGGCTGCAAGAGCAGGTCCACATATGTTTATAATGGGTTTTTGCACCTTATCTAAAAAAGAAAGGGCATCATTAGAAGATCCGCCCCAGATATGGCAACAGTATTCCATACAAAGCCGGATTTCAGATTTGTAGAGATAGAGAATAGAATCCAGAGTAAGAAAGTGTCGAGCTCGATAAAGAGATGCAACTTTAGCAGATGCTAATTTGGCAACGGATTTAATATAAGGTTTCCAAGAAAGATCAAAAGTAAGAGTTAATCCTATAAGATGAAGGGTAAATGAATCATTGAGTACATTACCATTCATAAATATAGTAAAGTCTAAATTATTGCGATAACAATTGGCTGAAAAAAATTGAGTTTTGTCTGAATTAAAGTTCACCAGCCACTGTGAGTCCTATTCTGTAGCAAAAGTGAGTTCCTTTTCAAGCTCAAATGCCCCCTCGAAGCAATCAGAGGGAGTTGGCTTCTTATCGTGATAAAAATAAATGGTAGTATCATCAGCAAACAATGCCACCTTAGATGTGGGAATATCTGGGAGATCGTTAATGTTTATTAAAAGGAGTATAGGGCCAAGAATTGAACCTTGAGGAACCCCTGAGGTTACAGAATAAGAAGAAGAGTTCTGTCCATCAAGGACAACTTTTATACTACGATTGGAAAGGAAGGATTCAATAATCTTAAAGATATTTCCAGATACATTGTAAGAAGAAAGCTTATGGAGAAGACCAGCATGCCAAACTTTATTAAACGCTTTAGACTGTTGGGGCATATGCAAAGCGTGTTGCTTTTTTCGAACAAATCCAAAAGAATATATTGCATGAGTCTGAATCAGATGAATACAGAATATTGAGACTGAAGTCTATGCCAATGACTTCATAGACAACACGAACAAAAGCAGTACAAGTGATGTTGGAGAAGATTGCAGAACTGCGTACAATATTGAACGTTTCAGAGTGACAGGACTATTGATGTAGAAACAACAGCACAAATTAAAGTTTTATTACCTCAGCTTTCATCAGTAAAAACGCTTTTTGAACTGCAAAGCACTGAATTTTTTGCTATTCTAAAAAATCTATCGAAACAGTTACAAGAAATTAAACTGACAGGTGATGTCGCAGTATTCTGCATTTGAAATGCGTCTCAGAAATTTGCAGAACTTAGATCAGATAAGGAATTTAACAGAATTTAAAGGCGACAAAAAAAAATACCTGGAGTTAAACAAGACAATGAGTCTAAAACTGAAGTTACGCAGAGACAAAGACTAATACCTGAAAAATTACGTGATTCAGTAATTACTGAGAAGTTTAATCACAAACTGGAGGGTCACAAACTGGAGGGTCGCAAACTAGAGGCAATTGTTATGTTTGCTCAGATACAGAAAAAACAAATCGAGAAAATTAACATTACAAAAATTGCCAAACAGTTTGATGAAATAGATAGCAGTAGAATGAATTATTTCAGCACATACATATGAAATCATTCTTGTACCTTGTAAAGCTAAAAATGGCATAGCATGAAATGTACTATTGACAAGTAGCTAAGAAACAGTTGATTTATTTAGTAGACTGTTTAATAGCATTTTATAACATTTATTGTTAATTGCACTGTGCACGCGATTCTTAATAGTAAAAGTAGTAGACTAAGTGACATTTTTTGTGTATTTTTTGGAGAATGATAGAGTTTATTAAAAGGTTTATTTGTATTAGATATTATACATAGTAAAACATTGTGTTGATAAATTGGCAGGTGCCTTCCGGCGTGCCTGCTCGAATGTGTGATTGTTTGTGACCCCTATCTCCCTCCTAAACTGTAATAGCAGTTTTTATGTTAAAAACATTTTAAAAGGTACTTTTGTTATGTAAATCTTAACATTTGTTATGTAACTCTAACTCTTAAAAATAGATATAAAATATCCACGATAAAAAATATAAAAAAGTACAAACTTTCAATAAAAAATTAAAATTTTCTTTATAAAAATCTAGATTTTGAATACCTTAACGGGTGTTATAGACGCCCTTCTAACGCCCCTCATACGTCTTTTATGTATCATTATTCTCTTTTTTAAGACCTTTCTTTTGATACCAAGTTTTATGAATATTAATAAGAATTGAAAAAGTTATGACATTTAAAATTAAGAAAAGCACTAAATTTGGTCACCTTTAACAAATCGATATATTGAAATTTCGACACTTAAAAGGCTATAACTTTTTGTTTAATTTTCTATATATATATACATATATATATATATATATATATATATATATATATATATATATATATATATATATATATATATATATATATATATATATATATATATATATAATATATATATATATATATATATATATATATATATATATATATATATATATATATATATATATATATATATATTTATATATATATATGTTTATATACATATATATGTATATATATATAATATATATTTGTTTATAAAAAAAGTTATGACATTTAAAATTAAGAAAAGCACTAAATTTGGTCACCTTTAACAAATCGATATATTGAAATTTCGACACTTAAAAGGCTATAACTTTTTGTTTAATTTTCTATATATATATACATATATATATATATATATATATATATATATATATATATATATATATATATATATATATATATATATATATATATATATATATATATATATATATATATATATATATATATCTATATATATATATATATATATATATATATATATATATATATATATATATATATATATATATATATATATATCTATCTATCTATATATATATATATATATATATATATATATATATATATATATATATATATATATATATATATATATATATATATATATATATATATATATATATATATATATATATATATATATATATATATATATATATATATATATATATATATATATATATATATATATATATATATATTTATATATATATATGTTTATATACATATATATGTATATATATATAATATATATTTGTTTATATATATATATGTATATATATATAACATATATATATATATATATATATATATATATATATATATATATATATATATATATATATATATATATATATATATATATATCAAATTTTTAAAATTTGGATGGAATCACAAAGAAGATGTCGAATTTCATTGGCAATAAAAATTATTTTTGGTATATGAGAGGAGCCCATTTGCAAAACGCACTAAGAACAAGTTTATTGTGGTAATAACTAAATTGATTTTGAAAAAGCGATGAAAAACTACCAATAGTTGCGCATCAATTAATGTTGATGCGCAACTTTTAATAGCTCAATTTTCACCTATTTATAGGATAAAAAAACTTTCAATTAGTCTAACATTTAAATAGACAATATTTCAGTATATAGAATTTGGGAAACTTTTAAATTGATAAGATTTTAGTATATAGATTGTGGAAAAACTTAAAATTTTGCAAATCCTTATATATGATCTTTAAATGATAAGGTTAATTATGATCTTTAATGATAAGGTTGGGTTTTTTTAATTCTAAAAATCTGTCTATGAAATTAATTGATTTATTGGTTTCACGGTTAAAATCAAACTATTATATTATACGTAATCAAAAAAAGTCTTTTTTTTTGTTGTTAATATATATTTACTTATTACATCATAATAACAGTTCAGTATGCCTTCACATATGTAAAAGCTAACTTGATTGAATCTTTCTTATATTTTTTATTATATATTCTTTAAGTCTTATTTATATATTTTTTATGTGTTTTATGAACTAGAAAATTGTGTTTTATGAACTAGAAAGCTGCGTTAGAGATATCCTGCAAAAACCTCCGGATAGAAAAGGCGTCTGTGACCGTGAAAAACTAAACCACAATGACAGTCTTTATTGTATTTTTTTAAATCTTTAATTTGAAATATGTTTTAACCTTGTGTATTTCTTTTAATTTTGTTTTTAATTTTTATTATTAATAATCACGCAGGTTGCCGTTTTTGTTAAGTTTTTTGAACGTTAAATTTTTGTCCCCAAAACCCAACAAATTATGTGATTGCTAAAATATGCTCATTGCATAATAAATGTTTTTTAAACGTTTTAAAGACATCTTTTCTAGACCAATTCTGTATAACTGTGCATAAACGGAGAGTCTTATTTAAATCTTTCTACAACGTCTTTAGAACGTCCTGAAAGGACGTCTTTGAGCGTCAAAACGAAATACAGTTTAGAACGCGTCCGAGACGTTCTGTCTGAACGTTTATTGTACGTTTTTTGTACGTCTTCGTGCCCTCTGTGGTATAAAATCTGTTTTTGAAAACATTTACTTTGTGGTTTTATATAAAATAAAATTATGAGATCAAGTAAGTATTGTTTACAAACAAGATAATTCTTATTACTGAAAAATTAGATATGGACGATACTTTTCAAGGTATTTTACGATACTTTTCAAGGTATTTACGATACTTTTCAAGTAAAATTTTAAATTTGTATTATTTAAGTTTTATGGGAAAAAGGATTTTAAAAATATAAACAATAATAACTTTTTTTTTTCTAGGACATTTTTTTCAAGCACTGAAAAAATTATAGACCTTAATGAACAACATCCAAGTTATAGAGTTATAACTTGGATGTTGTTCATAAAAGTCTATTCTGAAAGATTTATAAAAATAATGCACATTTTTAAGCCCATTTCTACATACTTTTCAAGTAAATATTTTGATTTTTTAGATCCAAAATGGCGGGTTTTTTCCTTCATATAACTAGTGGTTTTTAGATCCAAAATGGCGGGTTTTTTCCTTCATATAACTAGTGGTTTTGCATATAGTAGACATTACACCTTATTAGTAGATATTACAACTTATTAGCCATACTTTAAAAAAGCTGTTTAATTGCGTAAAAATTGAGGACTTTTGAATAAGCTAAATTACATTTCAATATTATTTGTATATTTTAAATTTCTCTTTGGTACTAAAATAATGTAGACATTTATCAAAGAAATAAAATAATATAGGTAAAATAATATAGGTATCACTAAAATAATATAGGTATTTATCACTAAAATAATTTAGGTATTATCACTAAAATAATATAGGTATTTATCATTAAAATAATATATGTATTTATCAAAGTAACCTGCTATTTAACAAAGAAGTTTCAAAATGTGATGATTTTGATAATATTGAATGACAGTGATTATTTACATAAATATATAAAACAGTTATTTTAAAAATTTAAAAAAAACTTTTTTTTTTAAATAATAACGAATAAGTAATTAAATTTTTTTTTTTTTTTAAACCAAAAAGGGTTTCGAGCCTGGCGTATTCAATTACAAATAATGCACATGCAATAATCCATGGATAATTACCGAAATATTAAAATTAATTAAAAAAGAAACAATTGATTTTCTTGCTCCCGCCATTTGTATATTTTATAAATACGAAAATTGTAATTATATTTAACGGCAAATTTATAAAAAACAACAACAACAAAAAAAAAAAAAAAAAAAAAAAAAAAAAAAAAAACATACATTGTGTTGTACGTTTTTTTGCTGTTTTCGTGGATAAAATAATTTGTTCAGCTTTTTTTAATTGTAAAAACCACTTCTCACAAATACGCTGTTCTAGTCTTTTGAAAACAATTTGCAAATATAAAAAAAAACATCCAGTTTACTCAGAACACCAACACATCCAGTACACTCAGAACACCATACACATCCAATAGACTCAGAAAACATTAACTATTTTTGATCGCACTCTTTAACATTATTCAATTCTTTTAGAAAATTTAGGCGAATATATTCTATACTGGTTTTTTTACGCTCATTTCGAAGATTGGAAATTAGAGCCTTTATTTATTTATTTATAAAAATGTCTTTCATATAAATAAATGAATTTATTTAAATAAAAATATCTATTATAAAAAAAAAATTGTTATTATTAATAAAAACTATTTATTTATTTCGTCATTAAAAAAAATAAATAAAATAATACAATGCTGTGTTATATAAATAAAATCTACGTGACCGGGGCTAAAAAAAGACAATATTTGCCTTACCACTACACCCCGACGTACTTTCATCAGCAAGCGTGTACAACCATTAAAAGGTAAACATACAAATACCTTATACGATTTAAAAGTTATATACAAATATTTACAAGTATGTTAAGATCAATTACTAATCTATAATCAAAAGAAAATCGTAAAAAGAAAATAAAAAAAAATAATCACACCTAAAAACTAAAGATAAGTTAATAGAATGATTTTATGAAAATTTAAATTAGAGTTAAAAAAATAGCTGTTAAAAAAAAAAATTAAAATAAATTTCATTAATATTGTTAACAAGTTTTTTGTTTGAGTTTTTCTTTGAATAAAGAAAGAGAAGAACATTTTTTCTGCTCGTTATTTAATAAAGTGTTCCGTAATTTAATAAAGTGTTGCGTAATTTAATAAAGTGTTCCGTAATTTAGGACCTCTGATAGCAATAGAAAATTTGGTAAATAATAATGCATTTTAGATTGCTCATAGCTGTAGTATGAAAATCTTGTAGGGTACACGCAGGGGCGATTTTACGGGTGTGTGCGTGGGAAAGGGGGATGTAACACCACCCTAAAAAAAGAGATTTTCAAGTTATAATCGGTTTTTTACGACTTTAGTCAGCTAAATGGCTATTTGACACAATTCAGTCGGTTAGATTTTTGTTTTGAGGACCTGTTTTTTTTAAGAAGCCTAGTTGGTAATTTTAGAGGATTCACCTCCCCCTCCTCTCATTTTGTGTGTAGAATTGCCTCTGCGTACACGTGATTAGTTTTATTGAAAAGTGTTCTAAATATTATAGGAGTTATTTCATTATAAAGTTTGTACATAAATATAAGAATTTGGTAAAAGTTTAACTTGAAAACATTAGGTGATGTGATGATTTTTATATAGATCTTTAGAATGTGAGAATAGGCCTGCACTTGAAATAATTCTGACAGCGTGTTTTTATCTGCTTATTATATTTTTAATTTTACTTACATTAGAGCTGCACCATTTGTATAGTTTATATAATAATGTATGAGGGAGAAATATAAGATTTTTAAGCAGTTTTGGTTTAACAAATGCTAAGCTTTGTATAGTATGCCAATATTTTTTAAATTTTTATCTTCTATTGTTCTTATGTGTTCTCCGTGTCACGTTTTTTTCACGTCTAAAGATCAGGAAGTTTTAATGGAAGATTTTTCTTCATACTTATACGTTCCTTCTTTACTTTACACGTTCATTGATGTAATGGCCATATATGTATTGAGAGTATGCATTGAAAATGAGCATATAAAATTGTACGCAGACTCATAATTCAACAAGTATATATTCGAGAGGGGTGAAATAAGTTTTACCTGAAAGCTAAAACCCTAGGCTGCAAACATCAGTTCAACTTCAACTGCCGGAGTCTAAAAACAATTTAATCCAAAATTTTAAGCAGGAGTGAGTTTGTTTTTTACGGGGAATTCTTTTATATTACTTAATCGAAAGATAACAGCAACTGAGGTGCATAGAATATTAGTGGAAAAATACGGCAGCAAACCTCTTTCAAAACTAACATGCAGTAGACAACAATTCAAGGTTGGCGATTTTGATCTCAAAGGTGAAGAATATCTTGGTATTAAGAAAAAGTTTAAAGATACCAAATTGGAGAAATTACTTAATGAAGATCCATGCCAGACACAGGAAGAGCTTGAGGAAACATTGGGAGTCGATTAATTAATAGCGCTTGAAATAACTGGTAATAACTTAAAATATTAGTAGCCGATGTAGCTGCTGATGGACAGCGTTTTTAATGATCTGAGTCTGGTAGTCTTTAAAAATGCTTACTTTTAATTCTCCAATAAAATGGTGTCTGGAAAAAATATATTTTTATGATAAACATTAGCTTAATAAAAAGAAATTAGTGTATCAAATAAGCGTCATAAAAATAAAGCGATTAATAAAAAAATAATATTAAACGCATAAAATGTAAATGTAAATTTACAATGCGTAAAAAGTGAAAGTAAATGTACCATAGTAACTTATACCAACTTATACATAGTAACTTATATCAACTTAAAAAATATACTAACTTTTCTGCTATCTGTTGCTTGACAAACTTGTTACCGACATGTTTTACAAATAAAAAACAGTTAAAAATTATTATTATTAGTAGGACAGTCAATTGGTGCAAACTTTATGCTATTTAGGGTAAAAGCATGAAACTTGGTGGACATGAAGATGAGATTAAAACATTCGTTTTAAGACTCAGACTTACTTTCATAGATGGTGTTCATGGATTCTAGCATATGTCTATAGCAACAAAGTTTTATTTTTTTTAAAATCTAATAATTCATACACCAATCGAAAGCTTAATAAAAATAAAGCAATAAATATAAACCCACGATATGCAAAAAATTAATTAATATCAAGTTAGATAGCTTCAAAAGGCTATAAATCCATGGGGTAAAATAGATATAAAGTTATACGTGCAAAATTATTTTCTTTTTTAATGACAATGTACAAATTTTTTTTTAAGTATTATTTATTTAAAATTTAAAATAAATTTATTTTGTTATATTTTCTTATAAAATAAACACTTTGATAAGACAATCAAGTCTGTAGTACTTTCCCCCTGAATTTACTAAAAATGCTTTAACTACACGTTTGGAATGCCAATTGAGATTTTCATTTTTAATATAAACGTTCAATCAATTCCATGGGGCTGGTTGTAGGTGGTTTGCATGATTTTTTTAGCTTAAAATTATTACAAAACTCTTTTGTGTTCATACGAAATTCTAAATTCGACATGACAGTTGTTTAAAAAAACTTGTAGAAGAAGATCTAATAGAAAAGAGTTTAATAAAATATAATGCAATAATTCTTAAAAACAAATTGATTGCCAGGTTCTTGCTAAATAGAAAAAGTATATGATACTATAGAAACAATAAATGATAAAAGAAGCAAAGAAATAATAACAATAATAGAAACAGTATATAATACAAGAAGTATATAATACAAATACTAATAAAAACAGCATATGATAAAAAAGCAAAGTATAAAGATAACCGCTGAAAAATACCAAAATAAGGTTACTGAACTAGTTGGAAACACTTCTCAAAGAATCCATACCACAAAACTAAAGCAAAGATTGTTGGCGCTTGTAGAAAATCTAATAGAGTATATTGACAAAAAGTTTTCTTACATTTGACGAAAATATTAGAGTTGTTTTGAAGAATTGTTATGAAAAGAATTATGAAGACGAATCTTTCATATTATCTGAAGCTGCTAAAATCTTGCGGCAAAAAATTCTCGCAAATCAAAGTTATGATGATATATAATGAACGTAATCAAGGTTTAGAGCATACAACTTTAACAATCAGTCAATTGATAACTCACACTAGTATGAAACGGGTTCGTCAAAATCAACAAAAAACCAAGCTTCAAAAAGACAAGAAAGTCCCATAGGTATTTATGTAGACATAATGATTCATAAAAAACTCGCAAAAAGCGACTTGTTGAAAAACTTTATAAACTTGGATATTTATGTATCGGAGAATCTAAAAAATTCTCTACTTTTCTTATGTACAAAGTTATCTAACATATGCTAATATTGCCTGGGGGAAGTATAAAATAAATCTAAACTAAATTCTCTATATATACACCAGAAACACGCATCAAGATTGATTTATAATAAAAATAAATTCACTCATGCCATTAATTTACTATTTAATATTCCTTTAATATTTTATTTATGCTCAAATATAAACTCAGACTTGTCCCAACTCATTTTACTGATAACTTTTTTGAAACCAATTTCAACAGATATATCACACAAGGAACAGAAAGTTTCACATTGTCCATAAAAAAAAAAAAATTTTCAAGATTTTACATTGTGTATCAACTGAATATATGGTTTTAAATGAAATCAACAGGTACCCACAAATTTATAGAAAAAAATTGCAGTCGGCAGAGAAATTTGAAAGGTTAATAAATAAATTTGTATGTTGTATGTTGTAAACTTGTATGTTGTGTTTTGTAAACTTGCGTGCTGTGTGTACACCCCCAGCTAGCACACTTACATTGGGCCAACGTATGTAAAACCATTGCGAACGTCGGCTTTTTTTTTCAATGCAAAACCAACGTTGATACAATGTCATTTGTTTAATGATAAAGTTATTACCGACGGAACTAAAAACATCTGGCAAATTTGCATTGGTCCAATGTATGTAAAAACATCGCAAAAATTTGATTGTTTTTACAAACTAAACCCAACATATCTTCATTCTTCCTAAACTCACCTTATATTCAGTCCGTAGAGCCGGTATGACGCTCCCTCGGGAGCTTAACCAGTCTTTGCGGACCTCTTGTAAAGTGGACCTTTATATGGCAGTTAGCCGGAGGAGGTTAAACTACAATACCAGAAAATAGAATTTAATGAAAATTTATTTTTAAATAATATTGAATACAAAGTTTTGCCAATTAAACTTTCAACCTTGAACGAGTTGACTGATTTAGCTCTTATGGCGTTTAAAGGTAGCGTATTCCAAACATTCACGATGCGATTAGTGAAGAAATTAAATCTTTCTTGACAGTTTTTTACCCTTTGACGTTTGAGTCGAAGATAATGTCCACGTAAATTATATTTGTAAATCGATGGTGCGTAGACTTGAGGGTTATCGAAAATAATTTGATCAATACCTTTTGATATTTTAAACTGTTAAATCAGATCACCTTGAACTCTCCTTTCTTTAAGAGTAGTTAAGCCGAGGTAAAAAAGTCTTTCTTCATATGGCAAATGCTTTATTTCCGATA